TTTTCTTCCGACCACTGCCTGCCTAATTTCATATTCTTGAGTTCCATTGCCAAACAACGAGGATGACTACTCCAAAAACATACGGTGAGTTCCAGCTATAAGTTTTCTGCAATCATAAGTTCATTTTAGATGGCACACACAATTATCTGGATTCATTCAGTTGTTCTGATCAGAGCGAGTCCCAAAGACCTCAACAGCATCAAGCACCCTGGAAGTGATTGCCATACTGTATGTTTTATTCTGGATGCTTTTGGATCATTACTACTCCTCACGAATGGTGTTATATATGTCATCCACTGAATAATCTAATTTTCAAAAATAATCCAGGCGAGTTCAACTATTTTACTGGATGATTTTTTTGGTAATTAACATGTATATGTTTTTCAGTTGCTTTTGCCACATATTTGTAAGTGTCCCTAGGCTAAATGCCGTAACTTCTCATGGAATGTTTATAACGCGTTACATTCCTGCCTCAAGTTTCATAAGCAGTCTTGACTTTAAAATTACTTTTCCTGGTCATGTTCATTATTTTTAAATTTTTATATACGTCAACAACCTGCATGTTAACATGGCCCGTACATACATTACACTATATCTTCATATCTTTTAAATTTAGAAATCATCTGAATTGCCTTTAACATTTATCAATAAACCCATCATAATCGTTGTTGCTAATCGTATTTGGGTTTATGGATTGGTTTGTCATATTAGCAGCCTAAAATGCGAACATAGTTTAGATAATAAGATTACAAATTTAGGTACTGTCAACTGCACTAGTAAAATAACCAAATCCCCAGGTAGCTGTTGGCTAAACAAACGTTTAAAATCAAAACTCCGTAGCCTACTAAAATTAACACTAAACGAATATTTCTGAATTGAAATTTATAATTAAATTAGGCGTCTCGGATTCTTTAACGTTATAAGTTTCTGATGATTTCGAATCACCTAAAGCAACAATACCTATTTTTCCACTGACTAATCCTTACTCAACACTATAGCTAGTTAAATTTAATAGTTTCATGATATCGCCATAAAGCATTGTCATAACTTGACAATCACGTAATATGATTGATAATATTAATGAAACTATTAACATAACCGGTCTTCAAATCGACTTATAATTATCACTAGTGTTGTTTTTCTTTTATCTTCATTCACTACAGATGATTACAGTATGTTTCTCTATCAGTTGCTCATTCAGTAAAAATCTCAAAACCTTGTCAGTCTAATTGATGGTCTAGCGACACAATCATGCATGCAAATAATCAGTATAAGCAGTCGAGCAAATCTCCTGTAAACTGAAAACATCAATGTCGAATTTACCCCAACACTGACTAAGGTTCAAGCCATTATCATAGACATGAGTTGGGAGTGTACTCCCCCTGGTTACAACTTATGTTCTCCCTGTTAATCACATGAGCATCACTCACTACTAATCATCTTGTAAAAACTTATTTAGCTAAATACATCTTGCAGCACCACATCACTTCGTAATATGACACAGGCCTAACTGATTTTAATAACCTATAACCACTATATCTCAATTTAATCGTATTCCGCCTTATGATAAACTGCATACTTGCAACTAACTTGTATGCCCAATCAGCCAGCAAGTATAAATATAAATAAATAGTCTGCAGATCAGAACATTGAGTTCAGAGCATGTCTCTTACGAATACACTCATGTTTAGCGATTTGTTCCTAGCTATTTGTCCAAAATTCGTATAATTATCACTCACGTATTTAAATTTTATTTTGATAACCATTCATGTGTATTAGTAGTATTACTAAATTCTATCACGGTCAAGTAAACATGAGGTTGAGAAAATCTCCCCGTAACTAAATAAACCGTATCAAACTAACTGGAACACTAGTTGGAATTCTTCTCCACGGTAATACTTTTGTTCTTCCAGTTAGCCTACTAATATAGATGCGATTAGAATTCAACTCATATGGACAACTTACCGGCATAATCGTTATTTGATTTCATAATTTAAACCGAAACTAATACCAATATTGACATTTCTACAATATTCATTACTTTAATATTTCAATAAACAAAATACTAACTACTGATACGTTAAGTTATTAACCAACGGCTATTAACACGCATTGTTTTATTATTATTACTGTAATCCCATTTTTTATAGCTCAAATAATCTTTACCCAAATTGTCATTTTAAGTGTGTTAAGTATGAAGGCAGATTTTTTTAAAAAAATTATTGCATGTATTTCCTGACCAGATGCTGCCGCCTTCTTTTTGATTTATCTTTCAGCTTATCATTACCCTGGGGATTCTTCCTAGTCTTGGTAACCTCCGGCGCGCGACGATCCCATTCAATTTGGTATCGAACCAACATCACGTTGATTCTGGTGGGAGAGTAGTGTAGTGGCATTGGACAATAGCCACACAATCCACAAAGCTGTGAACACGAGACTACTCAGAAAATAGATATTCAATATTTAACTTGGGGAAATACCTAACGATGGAGAAGGCGCGAGGAATGAATTGAATGGACTAGAGTTGATCGAGTGGCATGGCTCGTCCATGCAGGCGTGGTCCATCTCAGTGTTACTTTATATCTTCTATTCATATTAAATATATTGTTCTTTCTCTAGCCTAACCTTGTTCCTCATCATGTATTGGTAATTGATACGATACAGTGAGTTGATGTAGCCGATGGTGTGACTTCCACGTAAGATCTTATAGATTAGGCAGTTATATCATGACAAATCGATAAGTTTAGGATTAGGTTTACTATTAGAGCAGTACTAATATCATAGTAGACCATTGTTCTACACCCTTACCTCAGATGAATGGAACACTGCAGGGAACTCTTGAACAGACCAGCTCCATTCACTCTAACAGACGTCGAAGCAGCACCTACAGACCTTCATACAGATGTCACTTCACAAACGACAGAGAAAATCAGACAAACCAAGAACGGGAAAGCAGTAGGACCTGACAATATACCAGGTGAAGCACTAAAGTCATAAATAGAAGCAATTGCAATTGTGCTTCACATTCTATTAAAGAAGATTTAGGAGGAAAAACAAATGCCAACTGACTAGAAAGAAGGATACCTCATCAAGATACCAAAGAAAGGAGATTCGAGCAAATGTGAGAACTACAAAGGTATCACACTGCTATCATTACTGGGAAAAGTTTTGAACACAGTGTTGCTGAACTGGATGAAAGACTCAATAGACACCAAAACATAAGATCTACAGGCTGGCTTCCGTAAGGATCGGTCGTGCATATACCAAATTGCGACACTATGGATCATCGTTAAACGATCAATTGAATGGAACCCGTCACTGTACACCAACTTCCTTGACTATGAGAAAGCATTTAACAGCTTTGATAGGACCTTATGGAGCCCTCTTCGACACTGCTGTACCTGAGAAGAGCGTCAAAATCATGAGTAGTTCGTACGGCGAATATTTATAAACAACTGTTTACGTAAGATACTCAATTACCCTTGACGGGATACCATCAGAAAGTCTATTATGGAAGAGAACAAACCAACTTCCATCTGAGGAGGAATTTAAGAGTAACGATGGTGGTGGATAGAACATACATTAGAGAAATGCTAACATTATTGAAAATTGTGTATTATTGCATTTTCTGAAGAAACCCGAAATGGTTTCTTCACAACACTTATGTACCCATAAGATGTTTGTGAATAATAATAATAAAAATAATAATAATAAATCACCAAAGTGCATCACGCGGCAAGCGCTAAATTGAAATCCTGGAGGCAAACGGAAAAGAGGAGAACCAAAGAACACATTTCATTGGGAATCGAAAGCAGGCATGTGAAGGACCAGTGGCAACTGGAAAGCATTGCCCAAGACATAGTCGGGTGGAGCTAGTGAGCGGCCCATGCCCCTTCATCAGGGGTAATAGGTGTAATGATGAAGCGCGTCGCTTCCTCGACATCGCACATCTGATGTTTGCTGTTTATCTGTAGGCAACTTTCTGGGCTTCCAGAGCAGCATGCTCTACACGGACAACGTTATAGTGGTTCGCAACACATCTTGTTCATAGCTGATGTGACTCCTGTTCTCATGTTGTCAACCCACTTGTCGTGATTGTCATACCGCATTCTATTATCGATCGGAAAGAAAGAATCAACCAAAACGATGTTCTATCTGCTCTACTGAAATTTTCAAGTGAGCGTTTCGTGCCTGTAGGTAATCTTCGTTCTGTTGGTGGAAGAAACCAGACTAGAAGTGTATAGGTGCCAGAGGTTTCTGCTCAAACACACAAAGCTTTACAACATTCAGTATAAGATAATAGGAAATATAATGGTTATACGAAATAAGGAAGTGAATGAATGCTTGAATTCCATGGTTTTTACATGCTTTTAACTAATCGACCTTAACAGTTACAAGCTAACAGAGAGAACTGCACAAAACCGACCGAAACAGAAAACGTTTCTGGAGTGGGTTTTTCTAAATCTCCAAAAGTGGTAGACACTGACGACAAAGGGCCGAAACGTCTGTGCTACCGTAACTGAGAATCCAACTCAAATAAGGATAAAAGCCCTTACACCTTAGGACAAAATCAAAAATGAAAGATTTACCACTGCCCTTTTGGAAGTGTGCTCTATGATGGGTCATGGACACTCAAAATTTGGTTGTCCGAAATCCTATCCCACCCAAATATTTAATTCTTAATGAGATCAAAATCCATGTATGACGGGTATGAACGCACACTTGGATTGTAAGTTGAGTGCAAGAATTCGAAGTTGATTAGTTGTCACAGTGCAACGGAGTGCCTGAACGTGACATAACTCACATGCTTGAACGGATGCCTTCAGCTAGTAGTGTTCCCAGCGGATCTGATCTGGATGAAAAACATTTCTTGTAATTGATTATGGGCGCTTGAGGTTCAAAAACTAAGCAATCTTAACCGAATAAGACCGGCTCTTAGAACAAAACGTACACTTTTATTTCTGAGAAATGATTTAGGTCTACATAAGGATTTGTTTAAGTGAGCGACACGTTGCCACCTCTTTGAACGTATCGTTCCGTTCGTAGTTAAGATGTTGGATTTCTTCGTTATTATCACAAAAGGCGGAATTCGTTTATGGTGTTTCCCCGGATCAATAGATATATTCAGGTTATCAATAAATACATTCCTCAAATCCCTCATATTAGAGGTTAGTTACGTGTGATTTAGGGAATCATGTTTAATAGGAGAATGCTGGTCGCTCACCTTTTGTTTGCGACTCTAGGGCTATGAAATTTTACATGGATAATGAATTTAACCTGTTATTTGTTGTAAGTTTTGTCGATAGAGTGACGCTTTCAGGCCGCATATCAAAATGTCCTTCAATTAAACTATGTGGATAAGTTTTTGACAGACATAGCTCTGGAATTTAGGGACAAGTACAAGAATAAACTGGTTAACCACGACATAACTGGGTCTTACGATGAATTTTTACCTATCTATCAAGCTACTCTGAAGCGCACTGAAGACGAGTTTCGGGACCTTCGTAAAAGTGCCAAGTAAATTCAGTTTTGATTTATATAGCTTTGTAGACAGATGCGGAAGTTTGAAGATTCTGATAAGTCAAAAAAGACTATCGCCTCTATGATTGTCCGAAAGGGTAAAAATCCTGAGGGCGATGTGAAAGATATTCCTATCGCCCAAAAGGAAAGTCTAGTTTCTGAACCCAAAGTGGAAGGTATTTTCGCTCTGAAATTATCACAATATTTTTAGAGCCTCCAGTAAATGGCATCGACACTTTTGAACAGAATAGACTCAGACTGGCTGCTAAGTTCAAGGGATCAAAGAAAAGTAAAGAACCAAAAAGGTAAGTCTCCTGGGTATTGATATTTTTGCTTCGGTTTTATTGTTTAGTTCTCTAAAAGGCATGACAAAAAGATAGAAAAATAAACCTAAAATACTTTCCTGAGACTTGATTGTAATATCAGTAGTAGATCGCTTCTGTAATTTTGATTTTTAATTTGTATTTAGATTGTGTCTTGATTTCAGCTTGAAATTGTTCATTCTGGTGTTTATTTTGCTTTACAGTGTGCCCTGCTACAAAACATAGCATCTCATACTGTTGTACTAGACCCTTTGTTATGCGGACTTTTCTCGATATTATCCAGTCTAGTAATCCCAGGTTTTACCTAGTCGACGAAGTTGTATGTTACATAAACGCGATTACTTCTGCATGTTTTCTTCATTCTCTGCCTACTGCATGCTATTTCCTTCTAATATTTCACATTGCCCCACTCGATTTACAACTTTCATACTCAATGTAACCACGTTCCGATGAAATTATACTTCATTCACACCTTACTAGGAGACCCAACTATTCAATAAAAAGAAAGGATGTATTTATAAAATCTCAGTGAATGAATTTGAAGTAAATTGAACGTTTCGCCTTGCAATCGGGTCCAAGCTTTCCAAGGAATTTTAATCAAACATTAAAATTATGGAATATGAATAGGTACATGGTTCTCTGGTTCACTGTATACTAGATAGGTCATCCAATCAACCTTGACGTTTGAATTATGTATTTGCTTTAGTGTGTAAGACATGTGGTATAAAACGAAGTGTTAAGATGACAGATTGTGTGTATACATAATTGGTGTAAGAAGAAATTTTATTACCTATATATTGTCTCTGGTCGGTTAATTTTAAGAAAACATACAATTTTTATGTATGATATGAATCAAAAATGTCACAGCATGCATAAAATGAAGATAAATAAACAAGATAAAGGAACGCATTCAAAGAGGAAGAATGTACTTGTTAATGAATGTTTGTGTTATTTTTATTGTTCCAGTTAATTGTCTAACATATTCAGATAAGATAACTGAATAAAACCGTTGAATGTAATTACTGTTATTCAGATAGCAATAGATAAAATGGTCAGTCAGTCAGTCAGTCAGCTACAACGTAGGACCAGGCACATATGTGCATCGGTCCAGGTTGCCATACCTCATTAGCACAGCAAGATGAACACCGGATTCATAGGAGTGGTTAGGTCAAAGGTTGCAATAAGGATATAGTATAGGAAGAAAGAATTAGTTCGTAGACAGAAAGAATGAAGTGATTTTAATCTTTTAGTTTAAGGGAAGACAGGGAGTGTATACACCGACGCCATTGTGATCGATTCTGAGCCATGTCACCAAGAGTCTCCAACCATTGGTTACGAAAGTCACGCGGACCCCAACCAAGTAGTCTGCATCTACCAACATGGCTCAGACTAGAAGTTAGTGACTTTGTGGACTGATGCCACGTTTTGGTTTGGCCGCCCCTAACTTTCTTCCAACCATCCCCTACCCCGGTTAGCATTGCACGTCGTGGTAATCGGTGTTCGGGCATACGTAATACGTGGCCCAACCATCTCAGTCGATGAAGATTCATAACCTCATCAACTGATTTACCATCATTCCCTAATACCCTGCGTCTAACCTCCTTATTACTTACCCGGTGATCCCAGCAGATGCCAGCAATATTTCTAAGGCATCTGTGGTCAAATACTAGTAGCTTACGGGTGTCTTCTACTCTTAAGGGCCATGTTTCGCTGCCGTAAATTAAAACAGAACGAACTGCCGCGCAGTATACTCGTCCTTTTATTGATAGACGGATATCTCGCCTTCGCCATAGGTGACGTAAGTTGGCAAAAGCCAAACGAGCTTTTCGAAGATAAAATGGAATAAGCCATGGGGCAGCTAATTGTATTCCATCTCTCCCATTAATACTGTTCGGGTTTGCTCAGTATTAATAGGAGAGATGGAATGCTATAGTCTGATTATAATTGCTATATGGCTATCAGTTAAATCCAAAACCCGCGTTTCTTCCGATTTGGGACCCATCATACGAATGTACTTTTATCTCAGTGTTAATCTTCAGACTCGTCGGATAACGCCCTGTGGGTTTGAAACGAAAGGTATTAGGTTGATTTCTCAGTGTGAATATCAACATTAAGATCCAGATGCATTCGGCTGGTGAGTTCTAAACAGAACGATGTGCGTTCTAGGTTTCCAACCGCTTACTGAATATGCTAAAACTGGTAACATGATGATGTATCAAGGCAGTCTGTAAATTATGCACATATGGCAACAGGGACTGGTCAATTAAAGTCCTGGATTTTAACAATGAATTACAAATTCCTACTGACATAAAAATGATGGTTTTTGTAGAAAACGACAGATTAATTGTATTGTGTTTTCCTTTCTCCTCAACGGTTCTTACAAGTTGATTAAACATTGGGAATTGTCCATTCAGCCAGAAGAGGTTGATTATGAATACAGTGGTTTTGAGTGCTGTTAGAGGTATGAGGGCGATTATCACTCCCCGGTTGCCCACACCGTGGAAGGGTTCTTCTGGAGGTATCTGGAAAGGAAATCGGATTGAAGGTGGTCTTAGTGACCCGAGAGCGTCGCCTCAGTGCCCAAGGGGCAACTGCTTGAGGTCGGTCACATACGACATTTTTGTGAGTAGTTTTCGTGTTAGCTCCGTACTTGTTGGAACCTTACCGCCGGAGACGAATATCCGTGGGATAAGGCGAGGTGTGCATTTTTAGGGTGAACCTTTTCTAACCCCATCCTTCCTTGTTGGAAGGCAGCATCGCTGTCACGCTGATTGTCTGAAGAAAACACCTTACTGCCGTCACACCTCTGTACAGTCAGCAGTACCACTTCGCTTTCGGATCTTGGGTTTGCTGCTTTTGGTCCTACTGCACTTTAACTGACCTGTCTGACATGGTAGGACCTTGAGGAATGATTGTTCCAGCCAGTATAGCTCGATTGATTTATCACAATAGGCAAGCTCGACCACCTCGTCAAGATAGCAACAACAGTCGGGAATCGTCCATTAGAGAATATCGGAAGGGGTTTGTGGAGATTTTAGTAACTTCACAGATTGAACTCATGAGTCAATTGAAGCTAGACCACCATTAGAGAAAAGCAAATTTTTTTCTAGGCGAAATCATAATGTTGCTTAAAATATGAAAGTCTTTGATGATATTAGGATTACAGGCTACACATTCTCTGATATTAAAAATCATAATTACAAAGCAAATCAAAAAGATCAAATGGTTAGAAGTAACCATATATTTCTAGCTTTAGATATAGTATGTCACAGCATGTATATTCAACCACAGGTCTTAGTGAAACATCTATTTTATGTATTTTTGGTAGCCCATAAAATCTACAACGGTAACTGCTTTATGGATATACAGAAGACCATAGAGATGGTCCTACTTTGGATCAGCTAGAAAAAAAGCATTCGTAGAACATGTCCAAGCCACCGAAGACGGTGTTTCAAGATGGTGACACCGATTGTATTATCATCTCTGTGCCTGAACACACGATGCCGAACCTCTGCATTACTGACATGGTGTTGCCACTGGATGTCAGCAATCCTTCGGAGACAGCGATGATCGAACACAGAGAGTCGTCTAATATCCTCAACTCGGAGAGGCCAGGTTTCACAAGCATAGAGCATTAGTGCTCTCACCTAGCGTTGTAGACCCGATCTTTTACAGCCAGACTAACATTACGAAGTTGCCAAAGATGGTCCAGATTGGCATAAGCCACCCTGGCTTTCATTATATATGAATTGATCTCATCACTCACGCCACCACCAGCACTTATGCAGCTACTCAGATACACCGACTTTCTGACTGTTTCTATCCGTTCAATACCCGGGGTGAGTGCAGGGTCCTGTCAGTCTTGTAAAAGCGCTTTGTACTTCGAAGGTGTAAGGCACATACCATGCCTACGAACACCGATTACCAATTGATTAAGTGCGGATTGCATGGATTGGACATTATCGCACAGTAAGACATTATCATCCGTATACTCAAGGTCGAGAAGTCTTTCTCCAGGCAATAGGTCCACACCACCATTACCTACATCCATCAGAGCTGTTTCCAGAATGTCATCGATAGCAAAGTTGAAGAGGAATGGTGAGATCGGGCAACCTTGCCTAACCCCACTGCTTGAATGGAACAATGGAGAAAGGTGGTTGTATGCTCTCACTGTACCTGAAGTGTTTGAATGTAGGGCTTTCAAGATGTTAGTAAACTTCCCAGGCACACCCTTCTTCAATAGACAACCCCGGAGAACATTCCTGTCCAACGAATCGAATGCGGCTCTAATGTCAAGTAACATTACGATTGTTGGCCTGTGATTAGTATGACGGTGTTCTAACATTTGGTGAAGGGTGAAGATAAAATCAATACATCCTCGACCAGAACGAACACTAGCCTTCTCACGAGTCAATCTTTCTCGGGTTTTGAACTACCCACGAAGTATGACGAAAAACGATATTTTGGACGCAATCTGAAGTAGAATTATCCCACGATAGTTGTTGCAAAGACGACACGAACCATTTTTAAAGATAGGGAAAACTATCGACTCATTCCATGATGTTAGAACACTCCAAGTGTCAGATCTTTGTAAACTAAGTTTCTCAACTATAAAGTCACCACCATATTTAAAGAGGGCCGGAGGCAAATCATTTGGGCCTGATGATTTGTGGCGCATCAGGAGTTGGAGTTCCTTGCGAACTTCCACCTCGTTAGGTGGATTAGTCGTCACGGGCCATCAAGGGCAAGACAGTCTGATCGATGTCGCCGGGGCAGTAGATCAGTTGAACTGCCCCTGGAAAAACTCTGCCCATTGACATCCCGTCATTTTCATATATTGTTTCGCTCGCACCAGACTTCTTTCTGCCAGTGACTCGGATGAGATGAAAGGGCTTCCTACAGTTACCAGATGCAGCTTCTACTTCCAACTCATTGGCACTCTCGTACCACCAAGTTTCTCGGTCTTTACGCAGGCTTTGCACAATTTCATTACGTAACAATCTTCGTTCATGGTCAAACTCACAGTCACCAGGAGTAGACCGATGGGCTCCAATGAGTTGTAGGGAACCTGAAGAAACTCAGTGATTATAAGCGGGACGTTTCGCGAAGCCGCTAGCGATTTTACTCGCCATTTTCATGGTGTCATGCAATTGCAACCAACACTCATCTGTACTTTTCAGTGGGATGGTAGCTAGCCTTGAACCTAGCTCGGTTTGATATTTAATTGCAACAGAAGTTGCAACCAATTTACTAACATCGATTCGTTTAGGGCGATGAATTTGTTGGTCATTGAAAAGTAAGATAAGATTAGCGCTAACAAGGGTATGATCAGAGTTCAAATAAGTATTCCAAAAGGAACAACCACTCCAGCGATAGCTGATCGTGATGTGGTCCAAGCTTGAGATGTAGAGGGAGGACGCCGAGTAGCGCATTGACGATAACTTTGCCAATAGTTATTGCAAGCCAGAAATAGGCTACAGTCTTCGCAAAGTTCCAGTAGTCGGTTACCGTTGTATGATCTTCGATCAAGTCCCCATCGGCCACCTAAACGACTCTTCTGTGCCTAGACGCCCGACCTGAGCACTAAAGTCTCTAGCTAGTACTACAATGTCTGTCAGTGGTAACATTCAGCTCCCAACCAGTCAGTGACTTCAGATCGCTTAGATAAGACAGGGTTCCCACCGTAGGCGAGCTTCTCTGTAAGTTTCAAAATAAAAGAATACACAAAGCGAAAATGAAAAGGAGTAGGTAAGTGACGTAATACAAGAAGAAATGGAAACGAATGTTATTAAAGGATTGTGAGTGTGATTTGTTTGAATGCGAATTAAAGTGACAATAATTTTTCAGTGGTAATCATCATTTGATTTGCGTAAGGGCTGGGATACTCCCTGGGCTCCCAAACCAAAGAAAGTAATTTTCTTAACAGACCACACCTCAATCTTCTAACCTAAATGTCTAATCCACAATACAGTGGGGCGACGTTAGGAGATCCATTTCTTTGGAAGCCGGTGACCGACAACAAGTTCATACGCCGTTTGTTCCCTCAGAATCATGAAGCCCCTGTACACCACTGGTTTGGAATCAGGGTTTTCCAACTCCTTTAGATGAATCCTTCATATCCACTAACCCAGTTAAAGCTCCGGACATTCGCCTTTACCAAGCGTTGGACATAATTTACTTGAAATTTTTATTCATTTTACAAGATTACTTAAAAAGTATATTAACTGATAGCACTTGCCTTCTGAATCACGTTAAGATTTTGATTACGTCGGTGCAACAACTTATTGACGCTTATCAGAATCATCTTCAAGTCTATACAAATATTCGTCAGTATTTGAACGAATAGTTTGACAGAAACTGGATGCCAAGTATCAAGAAGACACTTGTGAAAGTTGTGATTTGAACTAATCTTGGCGGTTGAATTTTGAATAATCTAAACGTTTCGTCCACCAAACTTTATATATATATATATATATATATATATATATATATATATACATCATTCCCAATTACTGACTCCACATTTATTTTATTAGTACTAAACATGTTTCCTTATGTTCATCTAGCCCTTCATTGTCACCTATGCAAAAACCTAATGGTAAAAAAATCAAAGAAAGCCGTCGGTGGGATAATTCAGCAACTGGCGAGGAGGCAGCAGCTTTGGATTTTAGTAGTATGAATCATACAGAGTCAACAGGAAACCAAAAAGCTGATTATAACTTTTCTGCCACGGAAATAGAAACGCTATCTCGTCTCCGTGGGACAATGAAAGATGATTTAGATGAAGTTAATGTTTCTTCAGGCGATGAAGACCTAGATGATTTAGAGCTTGAAGAGAATAAATCCGTTGAACAGAATGGTTTACCAACCGACTCTCAACTTGAAAAGAGTTCACTTGATAATAAACAAACAAAGGTTCGTCAATCTGCTTGGACTGATTTAGTCTTCTTTTATTTATTTAGTGTCTAATTTTATGTTCTAATATATACTTGTATTATTTAAATCTGAATGAATAAGGAAATAAATTTATCAGCCTATTCAGCTATGTAGATCATTATAAATCATCGATTTAGAAAAACGTTTGAAATCTTAAAAGATCAGAAAGTTATATGTGTATTTTCTTTTTCTTTTATTATAATAGTCAGGTTATCTCAATGGCGGTTTTGCATCAAGTTTATTGCGTGGTTTACGCATTACTGGTGGTTCTGGGCGTGTTTTAACTCGAGAAGATATTACACCTTGTCTTGAGCAACTTAGAGAACGCCTTGTTGGTAAAAATGTTGCTATGTCAATCGCTGATAGAGTTTGTTCGAACGTTGCTGATCGCCTTGTTGGCACATCACTTGGAACATTTGAAAGAATTTACCCTCGTGTTCGAGCCAGTTTGGAAGAAGTTTGTTCTCGAATTTTAGTTTCTGGTCGCCGCGTAGATGTTCTTCGTGATGCACTGGATGCGCGTACTCAAGGAAGACCATACAGTATTGTTTTCTGTGGTGTTAATGGTGTTGGAAAATCAACAAATCTGGCAAAGGTATGTCATTTAACTAAGTTATCTAATGTAATAACCAACAAGTCACCAACCGAGTACAGATTCGTGCATTCTGCTTTAGGTCACAGTTTTTGTATAGACCAGTTATACCACCCACGTGTCTAAACAAGAACAGCTGGAACAGGATACGAACCTACCTACAAACCGATTTTTAAAAACTAAACGATTTAGTCACTAAGCTACTTATCTACCGTACAAGTAATGATTTCTCATTATATTTAAAAAAGTACCATCATTCGATTGGCGAGTGAAAGTATTGGTATGTAGAGAAGAATATTCTGTGAATATAAGGTTTGTTAAAGTACATATATTCAGACTATATGTATAACTACGCATGAGATAAATTAATGATCTACAGAATATACATTTTCTGTGGGATGATTTGATACCTTATATCATGAATCTAGAAATCCTCTCATGCTTTTTATTCTCTTTTTAAACTTGATCTTTTCCAATACCGTTACTGTTACTACTTCTACTAATCTCGGATTTGGCTTGGTAATTTTATCTCACTATGCTAACGTGGTGTGTTAACTTGGATCAATCTACTTATGTTCTAAGTTCCTCGTTACATATGACTGGTTGACTTTAACATAAATCACTGAACCGTAATTTAAAATAAGTAGAACCTGACAGAAATATGTAGTTGCTCAAGCTACCATATCACATCAGTATAGCAAGAACTTATCTAAAGAAGATACAGTTTAGGAGTCGATATACTAGTATAAATAAATAGAAAAATTAAATATTGTGAAATAATATTGAAATGTGTAATTTAGTGGAAGATAAATAATTAAAACACATGTATTACTCTGTGATTGATTTTAAATATTGTCACCTAACGTTTCCCCAAACGACTGATTGTAATTATTATGTCATACCCTGATCAACACCGCTCAGATCAACAGTCAATAATTTTCGACTTTAAATGAAATTATTAAACATAAATGTACTTACTCTTTCTGACTTCTATGATAGATGTTTATTTACTATTCTAACCAGTTTCTTTGATGAATATATAAGTTTCCAAAGAAAAACAACAGAATGTTATCTATAAGATCAGTAGTCATGATTGTAATACAATTTATGTCGAAGATACATCTAGACAGTTGAACATAAAGTTGAAGGAAGACAAGTAATGTTCAAAACATGTTGCAAAAGCTTCGGTTGATTTTAAGTAACTTGAAAATAGGTCAATGGTAGTGTTAAATGAGTCAGAATCAGGACATATGATTGATTGCAAAGTGGCCAAAATAATCCAGAAAGGGTTTTGTACGTATAAAAAAGGATTGACGGAAAAAGCTTTACATTTATGGGTTAATAATAACAGCCTAAACAGAAAAGATGTTATTGAACTAGCCACGTTTTGGCAAATGATCATGTAAAAACAAATTAACTCCTAATATCAACTATTAATAACTCAAACTTACACATACACACACAGTCATTCATTTATCGTCACAATATGAACTCTCCACATGATTCACATATAAAACTAACTCATGTTATCCTACTTTCTAAAGTCAACATCTGAATATGATTAAATAAGTACAATAAAGATTTGATTTTGATTATTACCCTGAAGAAGTCTAGACAAATTTTCTGGACGAGATATTGGAATTATTTAAGTTTGAATCACTGAAATTATTTTAAATTTAATTTTCACAATTAGTGTTTTCAAGATTTTTACTGACAGTAGAATTGTACTAAACTGTTCATAAATAAAATTAATAATCATAATGGTATTTCACTTTTCCTATAGATTGCTTTTTGGCTTATCGAGAAGAATTTCCGTGTCCTTATAGCTGCCTGTGATACTTTTCGATCTGGTGCTGTTGAACAGCTGCGTACACATGTACGTAAATTAAATTACATTCATCCAGCTGATCAGCATGGTGGTCAAACTATGGTTGAACTGTATGAGCAAGGATATGGTCGTGATGCAGCCTCAATAGCTCGTTCTGCAATTAACTATGGTATAAAGTGTACTTTTATATTCAATATTATATATATATATATATATATATATATATATATATATATAATTTTTCTAAGTCTATGTTAAGTGTTTGTTTCATTTAGGAAATCTCACATTCTACTCAACAATTGTTGAATGTGATTGTTTGAATAGAAGCTTATGAAGTGAAATCGTTCTTTAATTTCTCAAAATAGTTAAGCGTTGTACCGAATTCTAGCTCCAATTTCACTATACACCTGCTATTTTTTCTGAATAAAATATAATTTTGATGGTTTATCTCTACCCCCAAATGCCCTGGTATGGTCGAGAGTGGGGTGGGCCCGCCCTCCCTCTCAAAATGCTCTCACGCGGCCACGCGTACACAGCCTCTGCCAGGGAAGTCCTACTCACTGTCTTCTCGTGGTGGGGGTGTTGTTGTTTATCTGTAGTGAAGTGATTCGAACAAGTTACTTTCTATTACTAGATATCAGGTCTGATTTCCATTCTACCTTTCATTCATCCAGATTGTAGATGTAGTCATTACACATTAGACAGGATTCAAAAATCACTGCAAAAGTCAGTAATTGATAATTAAACTACTTCATTGTGTTCATTCGTATCATCCATATTAGAATATTGATGTGTTTATAATTTTTAGTCGTTGGTGTGATAGCTGTGGATCATTAGTTTCAGTCAGAATGGATACTCACCAAGCTACCGAATTATAATCTGTTGTACATCGAATGATTTGATTACCACATCACAGCAACCTTTCGATCGTGTGATTAATAACTGATTCAAGCTCACAAAATATCATCTTTGATCCCCTGAAACTGCGTTTTAAACTGTATACTGTAGCCCTTGATGTTGGAAAACTGTATGATCAAATCAACTGTTAAAACTGCTAATCCTGTTTTACTATAAGTTTTGGGGGGATCTAAAGCATTCCTCGGAAAACTTCGTAGGGGACCTGAAGGATCTTAGAAACATTTTATCCAGTCAGCATTAAATAGATGTTTTTCAGAAATATCGAGAAAGTGAAGCATCACGTATCACATTTCTGAATGATTACTTATCTTAGTATTGTGTTCAGCATGGTTCCGGGATCTTCCAGAAACCTAACGCCCTCTGAAATACCATAAATACCCTCGTATTCTGTACATAAAACTAACCTTTGAGTGAAGCGTTGTTTTCACACTGTGCCTTTCCTCTTGTGTTCATATTTTCATGTAGATTTAGCCTGTGGGTTATTAGATGAGCTTATGAAACCCACTCACGCGTTCAGTAAGAAAAAAATTCGACATTAGTTGTTCCTTTGTATTGCATGATTAACTCCCATTACATACACTCAATTCAAATCATAAGTATAATCGGGTTATGCTTGAAACATACAAATTAAATTCTACTCTTATTTCATATGTACATTATAAATTTTAAATTACTTAATACTTGTTTTTCTTGTCTTTCTTAATAGCCCGTGATCGACACTTTGATGTTGTACTTGTGGACACAGCTGGGCGTATGCAAGACAATGAACCATTAATGCGTGCTTTAGCTTCGGTAAGTCACATATGTTTTTTTGGAAATTAAACTATTCTTATAGCTTACAGATTTATAGTTGTATTAATTTAGTGAGATATCTAATTAAAGCCTAGTACAAATGAGGGTTAGCCAAAGTCGCTTTACCGTACCAGGACAACAAGATCAAATTAACAAGATGATAATAATCTTGCCTTGGATTTAGACTCGATTGTTACATGCTTCGGTCTCATTCGTCTCACCATAATTCTGCCATCACTAATAAATACATAAGTTTAGACAACTGACTAGTATCTATAGTGCTTTTCATTACTAATAATATGACTGAGATCCTAAATAATGTTTAAATATTTTTGGGTTATACAGTCTTGAAATGAGGTGACCATTTGCATTTATCGCTTTACGGCAAAGGTATTTTCTATGTAGTAACCTATTCACATTCGGCGCTTACTTGCTTGCCTAACAACTTTGCCCGTCGTGGATCATAGGCCACCGACCAACAGTCCCTAACCTTCTCTATCTTGGATTATCCTTTCTGGTTGTTGCCAAATTCTATCCACTTTTTTGATATATGCGTCCCATTCCTGGCGAGATGTGTTCTTCGGTCTTCACTTTTTCCTCTTGCCTTGAGGATTCAAATTTAAGGCTTACCTTGTTATGCAGTTTGATGATTTCCGTAAAGTTTGACCTACCCACCTCCATGTTTTCCTAATTTTCTATCCAGATAGAAGATAGTTTGTTCTCTATCACAGTAGATTTTTACTAATAGTGTCTGGTCAACGGATATGAAGTATCTTGCATAAATAGCTGTTTATAAATACCTGTACCTTTTTGATGATGGTTGTAGTAGCTTACAACTGACTGATCACTGAGTAGCGATCAATGTCATGTGTTCTATCTTAGTTCAGATCAAATTCAATCTACCAAGTTGAGATGAGATGTCGGTTGGAGGTAGTCGATAGAAAACCCTAGACCTAGGTTTTATACTATTTGGCACTCGTCAGCAAGGTGTACATGTAATCTTGAGGGAACCGATGCTTCGTCTCTGACTATGAAGCTGGGCGACACGGGACCGATTCTGTCAGGAAGTATCAGTTCCCTCCAAATTCCAGGTATACCTTGCTGACGAGTGCCAAGTAGCACGAAACCTAGGTCCAGGGTTTCCTATTGACTACCTCCAACCATCATCTCATTTCAACATTGTTGTAATAGTTCTCTAAGTTTCAGCTCTTTACAATAGAATTGTCCTGATGTTTGTGTTGAAGATTCTGACTTTAATGTTGGCTGACAGTTGTTTTGAGTTCCAGATGTTCTTTAATTTTAGGAATGCTGTCCTTGTTTCGCCAATCTATGCCTTTAGATATGCATCAGATCCTCGTTTATCAATGATACTCCTCATGTACGTAAAACTTCCCACCTCTTCCATAGCTTCTCCATCCCATGTAATTTGATTGGTTGGTTCTTGTTGTGCCCTATTTTCAGGTTTTGCTTTTTTCCTTGTGAATGTCAAAGCTTACTCCTGCAGAAACTGCTGCCGCACTGACTACCGTCATTTGCATTTGTTTTTGTGTACAGGCACCTACTTATAATTTTATCAGTTTATAATAGATATCTCGTAACAATTTCTCTGTTATTCTGATGTCCAATGTTGAAATAGTAAAAAGTTTCATTAAATTGTGTTTTCAAAAGTTTTCTCAATTTCGTGACCCTTTCTACTCTCCTTTTCTAGCTGATTCAAACCAACCAACCGGATCTTGTGTTGTTCGTTGGTGAAGCGTTGGTTGGTAATGAAGCAGTTGATCAACTGGTTAAATTCAATCAATCACTTGCAGATCATAGCTATTCTGATCGCCCTAGGTGCATTGATGGCATTGTATTGACTAAATTCGACACAATTGATGATAAGGTATTGAAAAATGTGTTTTAATAGACATTTTCTTATCCTTGATCTCCTGGAGATATAATATGAATTCAAATAAATTAAGGAATACATGAATGGTAGTTAGTGTAATGAAACGTTGATTTAAGGTACCACGATTCTCTATTGAAATTAAAAATGTCTAATGTTAATTGTAAGAACATAAAGCAGTTAGGAAAAATAAAAGCTTAATACATATACACACTTGTTCTTAGTTTTGACTTATATAGGTGGTACACTTTTATCCATTAAATATAACCTTTAATTAATATCCTTAAATCTCTTTAGTGAAAAGAATGATTTAGGATCCAAAAACTGTCAGTAGCGGTTTGTGGTCTCTTAGTAACGTTAACTGTCTGCCGAATAGCATGTTGTGAAACTTTTTTACAGAGAAGATAATGGAAAGAGCTTCCTTCTTTATCTGACTATAGTTCCTTCCTGTTGTTGCCAGTGATCGTGCAGTGTGAGTAATCGCTCTCTCAGATCTATCGGGGTAGATATGTGAAATAACTGCTCCTCAATGAATAACATCATGTTGGACATGATTACTAATTAGATCCACCTATGTAATATAGATGAAAAATGTGTTATATTTCTATTGTTTGTTTTATATGCACGTCTAAGTGTTTTTGTATATAATGGTACAATTTTGTTGCTATTTTCAAATTAAACTGATGTACCAATTTCCACGTTACATTTGATTGAGTTATTATTCATCTTTTGAACTAACTAATTCATTCCGCAATCTTTTTTGTTTTTCAGGTTGGAGCTGCTATTTCTATGGCATGTATTTCAAATCAACCTATTGTATTTGTTGGTACAGGTCAAACTTATTCTGATCTTCGTCAGTTATCAGTAAATGCTGTTGTTAAAGCTTTAATGAAATAAATTACTTTCATATACTTTGCCAATATCTGTCAATGATAATTATCAACACTATTATTGTGTATATGTTATTTGATTGATTTTATTTGTTTTTCTTCTTTTTCTGATCCCATATATGTTATGATTTCATGTCTAGGGTGATTTTTTTCCTTTCTTTTTTTCTCTTGAATTCCCCCCCCACACACACACACACACATCCTCTCATGGATTACTTTCAAAAGAGAGAATACACTGGACAAAATGAATTTCTTTTCTCTTCACTCACTTCATTTTTCTTCATAAACATTATTTGATAAATAAAATTACAATGTTTAGTCTATCTTTTATTCAATTCCATATTACTAATAAAGATAGATAAGTAGTATCAATAGTCTTATTTCTATTTTTCTTTACTATTCTATCGTTGTGTGTATATGAGAGGAGAGAGAGAAAGAGAAGGAAGATACATATTATTGTTCATTGTGTATGTTCCCTTTATTATTCCCTATTTTCTATTTACGTATTGTATGATTCTGTTGTTATTTTTTTCCCATTGATGTTTATGTGATATATATATACATTCTGTTCATTGGTGTCCTTGTATGAATGTATTTTTTATAGATAAACTATACAAACCTCGGAAGTTCTTTTCTTTTTTTTCATGGTGAATAGTACTTGTATCATATTAATTTTATGTACTAACTTCATGTTATTCAATTCAAATTGTTCTATTCATTCCTTTATATCTTCTTGAAATTTGTCTTTTCTGTCATAAACGTAAAATAAAAGAGCCAATTAAGTATTTGTTTGTTTTTTACTTCTTCTTAAGAATGTATGTTATTTATTTTTTTCCTTTATCCCATAGTTAACCATAGGTGTTTGCTTTATTGGGTATCAGTTAGTACTTGATTTGTTTTGACTTAGTTACATGTTTAATTCTGTTTCATATCTGTGTAAGTTATGATTGTTGAGTTATATCATTAGTAATCATAAATAGACAAGTAAATAATATCTGATTGTAGTCTGATACAGAGATTCCAATATAAATGGTTGCTTCCATGTAATTGTAGCTATACTTGCACTATGTTTTACACGACAACTTGAGGAAAAGTAATGCAATTCCAATCGAATGATATGATGAAACAATTTCTCAGTTTGAATATATTGCAAACAGTACTATTTTATTTCTAATAGATAACATATTTAGAATTGTAACCTATCTATAAGTTGAAGCTTCGAAGTACATGTATTGATGAATACTTCTTTATCCATAATGAATTCGGTAGCCATGGGAAATTTCTCTGACCTTGTTCGGCTGATATTGATTTCTGCCTTCTTGTCCCTCCTTTTTTAAAATCTTATCCAGTGTATCAACAGTGATCCATTCCTTGTGATGGTGCTTCTTGTGGCCCAGAACCTCATGACATGTTGAAGTGTTTGCTTCCTTGATCCCTTTCCAGTTGTTCTCCATAGTAGTCCACTCTCCATTGAGTAGATTGTGAAAGGCCTGGAACCTATTGCTGAGGGTTATCTTGAATTCGTTAGGTCTGTCAGTATTCCGAAGGAAGGCCGTATTAAACTTTTATGGTGTTGTCCAATGCTTCTTGAGTTTCAATTTCATCTCGGCAACCAGCAAGTGATGATCTGAGGCTATATAAGCTCTTGGTTCTTACGTCTTCCATCGTCCTTCTGAACTTTTTATTAATGCACATATGGTCGGTTTAGTTCTGTGTAGTGTGATCCGGTGGCTTTGTGTATACGTTTATGTGTGAATCTGGTGCCGCCTATGACCAGTTTGTTGAAGGCACATAAGTTTGCAAAACCTTCACCAGTTTCGTTCCTTTCTCCCAGTCTGTGTCGTCCCATGATGTTTTCATATCCGTCATCGTTCATTTCAACATTGGCATTTAGGTCTCCCATCAGAATGGTCAAGTCCTTTTTTGGGCATTTCTCAATGATTGACTGTAGCCTATCTTAGAATTGGTCTGTAACGTCTTCATTGTGATGGTTTGTAGTTGCATAGCATTGGATGACGTTCATTGTAATGCTCTCTTTCCTTGTTTTGAAGTAGGTTTTGATGATCCTTAGTACATGAGATTCCCATCTTACAAGTGCATTTCGTGCTTGTTTGGATAGCATCAGTTCAACTCCTTATATATATGGGGCATTTTCTTCTTCATGGCCGGAGTATAACGGCAGCTCCCCTGAAGCTAGTCTTTGTCAAACTTGCGTCCAATGTGTTTCACTGATCTCAACCACCTCCAGGTTGTATCTTTTCATTTCAGCAGCAACTTGGATGACTCTCCCACATTGTACGGACGTTCCATGTACCTAAATAAATGTTTGCTCTGGTTATCAGAAGGAACATCAGCCTCGTGACTTCCGAAGGAACTCGGCTTTCACCATGAGGCGTCATAACTCTTCTAAATGAAGACCTCATTACTCCCAGGGTAGAGTTTAAGTGGTTCGAATTATTTTCTCTGATTAGCGTTTTCTCAATAAGTTATATTTCTATGGGATGGGGTCGCTAACCTCATGCCCAAACCTCCTCCTTTATCCAGGTTTGGGACCGGCAGCAGCCCTAGAGGATCTCTAGGCGGAGTTCTGACGTTGAACACCAAAGTAATAATCCAGAAGATATTCCCTGCTCTATACATGTCTCAATCATTTATAGGTAAGATGTCTAATATAAATTAGGTGGCATGGAATGGTTTTCATTTAGCTAGTTATGTATTCTTTATCGGCTATTTAAATCATCGTTGTCAAATTATTTATCGACAATGTATAGCACATGGTATGATTGTTAATCTATCTAAATTATCATAACAGGGGAGGGAGTTTACAAATTGAGAAACGGCATTATGTTAGTAACGATATTCATAGTAGTGTATTTCGAAAGAAACGGGAGATTTTTAGTTCGGAATGATAATAAGCTTGAGATTTACTGAGAGAAAGAAAGGATTTGTCGATCCACATTTACTAGTCATTTCAACTGTCATATTTATTCTTTAATTACGATTACCATTCTAAATTTAAAAAATCGATCATTTTCAGATAACAATAGGATAATAGTTCCATTAATATTTGCATATATATTTGGATGGGGAGGTGGTCGCAAATGTGTCATGTTAAATCCAAATGACATGTTTGATTTTACTGTAACATTTTACCTACTTATATAATTTGTAGGTAGTATAAATCCGTTTCTAAAAATTAAATCAGGGTTGGCGATCCATCGAGAATGTCCGATTTATAGCTATTATATAGAACTTTTGTTAATGATATCTTTACACATCGGTGTATCGAGAGGTATTTTCATGATCTATTTGTACTAAACGTATATTTCTAGTAGATTTTACCTCACTTTTGTCGACCACATCAACTACCCCGTAACATACTTGAGTCCGTGGATAGATTTCACTCTAAATCCCATCGATTTCCACAAAGAATTATGTAACTGGACGCAAATCTCACCATCACTTTCGATAGCATATATTAATAGTTCCTAATTTCTGAACAGAAGAGAATTCAACCTAAAAAAAAAGCTCTTGGAATCGCTCATTTAATTTGATGATCAATTTAAAAATATTTAACTCAAAGAAAACTTAAGAATTTTTAATTTAGATACACATACATCCGTTGAAAAATTGAATTGACTAAACTTCTTGCATTTCACAACAAAACTAGGGTGAAATTTTAGCTAGACAAAAGCCAGGTTTGCACAGGTGGTATACAACTACAAATCTACCAGGAATGTAGCCATGGGCCTGGAGAATTAGTGGCGAGCGCGTTGCATTTTGACAATCATTAAGTTGATATTCAATAGCTCACATAGTGTCTTCCTTTCAATAGTCTAACTAGAGTTATTTTTCTTGGTTATATCTCTTTGAATGAAAACATTGTTCGTATACGGGGAATAACCAAAAAATGCAGGAGAATCTTGTGATAAACTGTGAATTCATCCGTGTCAACAGCCATTATCTTCTCATGGACCGGTACGGCGTCTTGTTCACGTTATTTTTATTTAAATAAACTCCACAAAGCACTTCAGGGTAGACAGTGATCATATGAATTAGAGTTATCGATCGATTCATTGATATAATTTAATTATAGGTTGCTATGGGCATTGTTGTAATTCATAGTTTTTATAACAAGCTGATATTAGTTAAACAACCACTGAAAACCAGGAATCACTGAGGCCTTTGAACACCTACAATTGAGGAGTCTTATAATAGAACGCAACAGCTATCTAGTGATTCTCGGCTGCCTAAATAAAATCAGTTCATGAAGTAAACTATAAGATTTAGTTATTTGCCAACAAATCAAGATTAACAAGGTTTACAAAATAAAATTAACTGAGCATTTTGTTCCAACATTACTACTCGTTGAACGACCACAAAAAGCAGTTTATAAAGAATAATGCTAAAGTACAATTGTCCATGGTGTTTTAGATTTTTGAACGGAAGGTTATCATTAGAATAGGAAGAGTGCATAAGTAAGATCGTAATTTCTAATGATCAAAGTAAAATCAGTCAGTCAGCAACAACGTAGAACTTCGTACGTACATACATCAGTTCAAGTTGTCATATCATATTAGCACAGCGATACAATTGTCGATTCAAATCCCATACTGGTAGAGATAATAAAAGTATATGCAGTAATCGGAAAGAATAGGGTTTGAAGTTGTTATTCAAGGAGTATAATACAGTGAAATAAATTTGGAAAGCGAAAAAAAGGGACACGAATAATTCAGAAGATTAAAATTTGGGAGAACATAAAAAGTGGATGCACCTGTTCCATTGCAATCGATTCTGAGCCATGTGATTCAAGGTCTCTAACCATCAGTTGCTATCATTTCGCGGATTCCAACCAGGTAGTCTACACCTACCAACATGGCTCAGTTCAATTGTCGGTGAATTCATAGATTTGTGCCACTTTTTAGTCTGGCCGACCCTAGATTTTTTCCAACCTACTCCTATACCACTGAACATCGCACACCGAGACAGTCGGTCGTTGGGCATACGTAACACGTGTCCCAGCCATCTCAACTGATGAAGCTTCACTACGTCATCAATTGATTTGCCATCCTTACCTAGTACTCGTTTCCTAACAACTGCATTACTTACTCGGTGGTCCTGGGATATACGAGCAATGTTTCGAAGACACCTATGATTGAATACTAGTAACCTAGGTATATCCTCTACTCTTACCGGCCATGTTTCATAGACATAAAGTAGGATGGAATGAACTGCTGCACAGTAAACCCGTCCTTTGATTAGTAGACTGATATCTCGCTGTTTCGTCATCAAATATAATGAAGACCAAAATTAATTTGATTAGTTACATTACTTATAAGAAATAACCTCTGCAAAGCAACGTAGTAGTGACAATTTTGTTTATGCATTAATTAGAATAAGTTGAAAATGTTCACTAAGTATTTGACGATCACAATTTTGAGAACTTCGCTTTTGCATAGATGCAGAATTTAAACAGAATATTAATAAAATTTATATCGTTAACACATAACAACAAAATTTGGGGATCAAGCCAAAAGATATCGTTCATTTGTTTTAATCTAACTGATGTAGTGGCTTAGCTTCGTTAATCATTCACCTTTGTCGTCGTTATTATATAAATTCCAACGGTGTTTGAATTTAGAAGGCAATAAGATGTGGCGATTACAGTTTATCAGCGGATAGCACAGATAGCAAAGCTACAAACACATCGAGCGAATTGAAATAGGCTAGCATATATTTGAGCGAGCATCTTCAGAGCAGAATTTATAGTCAAATCGAATCAAGGCGCAGATAGGAAAGACAGATTGATTCATCAAGTGATACTTAAGCTAGAGAGAGATATGTGCGTAGACTATCACATGTGATCAAACATACACGTTTATACAGACAAGATAGTGATCATGAGGTGGGAGTATCATTTATAGACGACCTTTGAGTAATGCTAAAGTGACCCTGAAAACGTACACCTAGTAACTG